ATAGCCAAGATGTGGAAGCAACCCAAGTGCCCATCGACTGATGAATGGATAAAGAAGATGTGGTATATATATACAATGGAATACTACTCAGCCATTAAAAAAAGACAAAATCATCCCATTTGCAACAACATGGATTGACCTTGAGGGTATTATGTTAAGCAAAATAAGCCAGACAGAGAAAGACAAACACTGCATGACTTCACTCATATGTGGAAGATAAACACACAAAGAGAACAGATTAGTAGTTACCAGAGGGGGAGGAGGTTGGGGGGTGGGCCAAAGGGGTACAGGAGTACATATATATGGTGACTGAAAAATAATAATGTATATCCAAAATTTCACATTGTTATAAACTATTATGACCTCAATAAAATAGTAAAAAAAAATTCTGATTTACACAGATTTACGCTTGAGTTTAACTTCCAACACAAAAGTGATAAAGAGACTAACTACAAAACTAGAAATAAAAAACGCTATCCAAATACCATATAATTAACTTCTTAGCCTTGATGCTCATGGAGAGTGTTGAAAAAAGAAAGAGAGCCATGAAAACCAACTAAGATCTGAAAGAGAAGAGTGCATAGTATAATCTACTAGGACTCCAATCACATAAAGTCAGTTCATCTGGCAATCCACACAACTCAGCTTACCCTGAGTTCTGGAAGTCCAATCCAACACTCGTTACATTCAGAACTGTATGTGTGGCCTTTGTAAGAAAAATGTTATCTGAAATGAGGAGAGATCCTAGGAGACCTCTCTATCATTATTTCATTAATAGTCAAAACATACTAAAAGATTCCATTAATTCCAGGTCAGAACAAAAGCCCTACTGGGATCTCTCAAAGGCATCTTTTTTACCAAGATATCACTTCTTTTTTACATATTGCATGAAAACTGAGTTCCAAATGTATAGGAAAAAACTCTGGAAGCATTTATAGGGAACAGAGAAAATGCTTTAAGAAATTAAAATGTCAAGTCCCTCAAATCAGAGTAACTAAATTCAATTAACAGGATATAGAAGTAACTAGAAAAGGAAACAGAACTGAAGTGCCTTTGCTTCACAGGTTTCTAACTGTGTGTGGTCTAAGAAGTTGAATGTTCTGGTCACTATAAGCCTGAAAAGCTGTTCTGAAAGGGAAACAAAAGAGGTAACCTGAAAGATTTCAACAATTAGGACCACACAAAGACAGAGTTTGAAAGAGACTGGCAAAAACAAGCTTAATAATAGCAAACACTCATATGGTGTTTTCTATACCCCGAGCCCTATTCCAAGTGCTTTACATATATTAACTCATACAAACTATTGCAAATAACTGATGGCCATGTTTCATAGGCAGATTCACTGTTTTTTTTAAACTCACTGCTTTTACAGAGTTCTTGGCAAGCTCCCAAATCCTGAACTAAAAGTAAACTACTTACTATAAACCCTCAAACATACCAACATCGCTGATTATCTATCTTTTTACTATTTCAACAGTTTATTGCTCCATGATGTTTTACCTCATTACAACACAACAGCTATTTTAAAAGTCGAACCAACTGAAATCAAGAAGACATGACTAGGCATTAATAAAACTAAGAATCAAAATCACTGACCTGCTAGACTAAATTGAGTTTTCATTCTAAATGCTATTTCAATCAATTTTCACATATACTAAGTATTCTTAGTATAAGATTCAATAGAAACCCCACATGAAAAATAGTTACCTGAATTTGAATCTGGAAAAGACAAATAGCAAATATTGGTTTTCTGAAAAAGAAAACAAAAGCTATATATGCTGACACACACACACCAATAAAAACAAACAGAAGTACAATAGTGGACTATAGAGAGCAATATTTTTACTTACTTCTTTATCAGTAAGTTTGGAATGTTGAGGATAAATTACCTGGAAGAAAAAGAGTTAAATTTTGTTAAGACAAAGATACTGAGTGTATATTACAAACTGTGTTAGATACTTCTAAAATACTAGTTGGTTGTGGTCAAATAGTTTTAAGACCTAGTTCACAAACTTTAACAATGAAACCTAGGAGAAGCTGGGAGAATTGAGTAGGATTTACATTATCCAAAAAAAACATGTGAGTCAAAGTTATCTCTAAAAATTAGTGAAATTCTGAGTTATCAAGAATAGTTTACCAACTGAATTACTAATAACTCAAAGTTTATTGAATCTTTTCTTTGGAAGCCTAAAATCTAAAAAGAACTTGCTCTATCAGCCAGGAGCTACTTCAAGAAATAATAATTTTCAATTGATTCGAAGAAGTAATACATATCACTAACTAGTTATTAAAAGAAAAATGAAAAGGAAAAAATAATTATCTGCAGTTTAAGAAATCTCAAAGGCCATCTCTCCCCATAAAGCCTATCTTAAGTCCCTCCAATACCATTAAATAATCATTGCATTTCCCTAGACAGGTCGGTTTAGCGCCTGCAGTGTGACCAGAGCCACCTTATGAGAGAAACCCCCGCCCCAAAGCCCCTGCAAAGGAAGCAAGACTAGGGCAGAAGAGTTACTGTTGGAACAAGCACTAGTAAACACCAGACCCAAGGGCACCCACTCTACAGGTCAATCAACCAACTGCCTAGATGTGGCTGGATATGAAAATTCTGCCCAAAACAATACCAGTGCTCAATTAGGCCAATCCAGATATCTTGGGAATGTGAAGAAGAAACGGTATTAGGAGCAGCAGGTTAGCTATCAGTTGATAACAAAATGGAGAGAAAAGACCACAAAGAGTAGCTAAATTATGTTGTTGGGTTGATAATGTAGGGATCCATGACTTCTCACTTCTGGAAGAATCTATGAGTTCTTCCATTCCCCAGAGCTGCCTGAGACCCTGAAAACTTTCCATTTCCAGAAATAACATATAGCTATATCACATTATAAACTGTATTGAAGTAGTTTCACATATTTATTTCATTTATTTAGTTCCCATGATAACAGACAAAGCTAGTAGTGGTATCCCCATTTTACATATAAGCAAAATAAGGTAAGAAAAAAGATGGGCAAAATACTTAATGAGTATCTTCTAGAGTTTTTAATTTTCAGAACTCTCTCAATTCTCTGCATCTTTACAGTAGAGTGGAGAAGTTCACAGTAGTTAAATAACTCTCCCAAAGTTTATCTAGGAAGTGCCAGAGCTAGGACTTAAATTTAGATCTGATTCCCAAGTGTACAAGCCATTGTTCCTCACTCCACCCATAGTGGCAATCATTAACGTGCAATCACAGCCCTCTTTCCCCCCTAGCCAAGATGTGGCATATAATCCTTCTCAATCTAGGGCTATATGGAGGGTCTACAGAGCTTGTATGTTACGTGAAAACCACCCACCATTTCTGGAACAGAGACTGACACCAAAGCCAATATTCTCTCTACTTACTCTCCTTTGTATCCCGTGTTCTGACCAACCTGACTTAACCTCTGTCTCCACAATTCATGAAGGCAAGAACCTGCTCTGTTTTGTTCACCACTCTCATCTGTACACCTAGAACAGCCTCCGGTGCATAGTAGACACTAAAAAAAATTTCTTCAATCAGTGGATATACCCTCAAATTAGTTATATTCAACAACTCAGTATTTAACAATATGTAATTCTTCTTTATGTGTACATAGATCTCCCTTGCTTCACCCTGAGACCATTTTATCCTGTTACTTTTAAAGCAGAAACGGCAAACTTATAAACTAGCCACATTTTATGAAAATGTCATAACCTCTAAGTTACCCTGGAATTTCCTGGTCTAAAACATACTGGTAAGTTTAGTGGCCTATAACAGCTTAATCTTAGACTCTAAACTCAGTTTTATCTGAGTGCCCTTCAGATTTTTATTTCCTGCAATTAAAATATCAACTCGAAAGCAAATATGCAAAGTTTCACTTTCTGTTACAGGAAGACATCACAGTGGTTCCTTTGGAGTTTGGTTTCCTATGGTTTAAAATACCAGCATGACAATATAGAAAAAAATGTCAGTATGTTTTACCCATGTATATGAAAACCTTAAATATATATAGCATGTGTGTATGTGTGTGTATTTAAGGGGCTTATATATGCTCTATATATTTAAGTAAGCTAAAAGAACTACATAACCTATCAAATCTGCCTCTTAAAAACTCTGATTGTACTAGACTCTCAAATAGCATTCTAGAATTTCATTTTAATGTACCATTAGGACTACCCAGTGTTTTATTTTGGAATAGATATAATACACAAAAAGAAACAATGCATATTTATATGCTATAACTATCTAAATGACCACACTGTACTTAAGATCAGAAAAATCATAAAAATTTATACTTAATTCTAAAACCTTAATTAAATTCCCTATTTAAAAAACAAAGGAAGAGCCAGCCACAGTGGCTTAGTGGTTAAGTTTGGCATGCTCCACTTTGGCAGCCCAGGGTTCAGTTCCCAGGCACAGACCTACACCATTCGTCTTTCAGTGGCCATGCTGTGATGGCAGCTCACCTACAAAATAGAGGAAGACTGGCAAGAGATGTCAGCTCAGGGCACATCTTCCTCAGCAAAAAAAAAAAAAAAAAAAGAAGAAAAGTAACCATTGCCAAGTATCTCGAACTGCACAAATTGCCACAGTTACTAGAATTACTATGTACATACTTTATTTTGTAAAAAAAAAAAAAAAGTTTAAATATAAGTTTGGGCAATCACTGTTAGTTTAGTCAGCTAGCTCCTGAAACCATTATGGGAATTAATCAACTATAGACTGGCCCCAGTACCTGAAGACGCCTCTCGCTTGAAGCTTCCTCTCTCCACAGCTCAAGTCCAGGCATCTCTGTCCCCCAGGCCACTGGCATTCCTGGGAGGCATCAAAGGGGTACAGAGAGCATCAGCTAATGTCACCCTGGTTCTGTTACCTATGTTCAGATCTTCCATGTTATAACAAGGGAGAGGTGGCCAAGAAAAAAGTAAGTTTTATTTGATATAATTATTAAGGCCTAAAAATGATGACATAGCATAAATATTTCACATCATGATATGACAGGAAAAAAATGTGCCTCACAAAAATACTAGTATATATATGGTCATGTGCCACATAACAACGTTGTGGTCAACGACAGATTGCATACATGACAGCAGTCCCACAAGACTGGTACCATATAGCCTAGTTGTGTAGTAGGCTAACCATCCATGTTTGTGTAAGTATACTCGATGACGTTCGCACAACAACAAAATCACCTAACAGAGCATTTCTCAGAACATATCCCTGTCATTAAGTGACACGTGATTGTACTGGAAAACAGTATTACAAAATGTTTTAAGTGAAGTGTACTAGAAAACAGTACTACAAAATGTTTTAAGTGTGGCTATTCTCTTCAAAAGTATGTCTATCTGCCACTCACCCCTGCATACCCTAACATTCCCACTTCAGTGTGGGAATAATCATGGTCCCAGGAGGAGGAAAATGAGGAATACCAGTTAACTTACTGCTATCACTTGGCCATGGGAAAAATTCATGCCTGCCACACACCCCAGATGTGTGTGAATGGGTGCCTGCCTGTTGCCATGTGACTCAGTGTCTGGCTCCAATACACAACCCCACCTAGCAGCCCAAGCCTGGCAGAGACTACATTTCCCCAGAAATACTTGCCTTCATCTCCTTGATCCCCTACATGAACATTAACTCACATATAAACATCATTATAACCTTAAAGAGAGGACGAATTCTAAACCCAATGAGAGGGCCGGCCCTGTGGCTTGGTGGTTAAGTGCGCGCGCTGCGATGCTGGTGGCCCGGGTTCGGATCCCGGGTGCGCATCGAGGCACCACTTCTCCGTTCATCCTGAGGCCGAGTCCCGCATACAGCAACTAGAAGGATGTGCAGCTACGGCATACAACTATCCACTGGGGCTTTGGGGGGAAAAATAAAATAAATAAAATCTTTAAACCCAATGAGAATTATGTCTTCAATGACTAGACAGTAATGTGCATTCCAAAGTGAAAAAAGAAACTGTTTACAGGCAAAAAACAAGTCTACATTTTTTAACTGGTTATATCTCATGTAATTTTTTTAAATTGGCTGAAAAATATTTTAAGATATATTAAATACAATATAATATCTCTTCTAAAAGGCCTTTTAATAAAAAAATTAAAGCAATGACACCCCAGTAGCAATGAGTACACCTAATACTCAGATGTTGATTACTATATACCATTCTGCAATAAAGAGAATCAGGGCTCCTTGGAGGGGTGGGTGATTACAGGGTTGGGACAGGAAAAATACAAGATGAACCCAGAGCATCTTGTGGTACCAGAAAGACAGGAAGTGTTCAAAAAAAAAAAAAGATAAGAGCATGTCTAAAGGACACAGGAGCCAACCCGAAAAAGGTGCCAATGCTCAACACTGGAAAAATTTGATCAACAAAATAAATGACAATAGTACTAGATTATAATCCAGATAATAAAATAAGTATCCTTGAGTCCATACTGATATAGATAGCTAGAGAGATAGAGAGATAGAGAGATGGATGGATGGATGGGAGAGAAGGGACAACTCTTCCTTACAAAAGAATTCCAACTAATAAATGTAGAATAAGGAAAATTGAAAATCATTATTAGAACACCAGAGTAATAATTGCTGCAGGAAAGATCCACTTACGGATGCTGAAATTAGCAGGCAAAGTTTGAGGAAGAGGATACTGCACAGTCTCAAAAGTATCTCCAACGAAATAAATATTTATTAATTACAAAGAGAAAAATAGTAACTTTACAGTGGATAAACCTGACAGGTATCATCTCAACCAAATGATCAAAGTTAAAATCACCAATAATAAAATATTTTATCATCATGTACTCCCTGATATCATGCACTGAGAAGGGCACATCACATTTGGGAGAGTCTTCCCAATAAAGCATAACCTCAGACTGATCGTGA